CCCCGCCTATGCGTGCGCACACCCGCGCGTGGCCCTGCACGCGTTTGCGCTGGCAGCGTGCGCAGGCTGCACCCGTTGGGCACCCAACTTGTGTGCCTTCCGTTCCTTCGAGCCACCTGGTTCCTTAGCCACCCCCACCAGGTTCTAACCCTTATATAGGCATCCCAAAACCTCTGATAGCGCTTCCTTTCGGGACGTGGTCTCACCCGTGCACGTCTACGCCAATGTGCGTATTCACGCCCTTCCTTACGCTCGATTATTGCCCGTCCTGAGATCATCTTCTCGTATGCTCTTGTGCATGTTGCCACTTGCACGTTCGCCTGCTCACGGCCATCCCATGTGCGCGCTGTCCACCCAACATCCTCCCCTCGCGAATCGCTTATATCTTCCGTAATGTAAACACCCAAGGCCTTAGCCTCCATATGTCGTGCGCGTCGCTCCCTCGCACACACCTTGTGCCATTTGACCACGCCGCTCAAGCCTTCAAGCCTCAAACTCTCGAGCTTCTTGCTCGACCTCCTATGCCATTTTGCATGTCGGCACCCTCGTATACGTGCTCGTGCACGTCTCATAGGCCATGCAAGCGTTGTTTTCACCCTTTGCTCGGCCTTGTCCATTAACCTCGGCCCTCGGCCCTTCACATCATCGAGGGTCAATTCCCACTTCCGTATCAGCGCGCAGCCACGCGCACAGGAGCAGGCGCGCACGGGCGCAGCACGCTGGCAACACGCGTGATGCGGAAGTGGGTTCCGAGCCCCGACGACAAGAAGATCCAAGAGGCGAGACGACTCGATGAGGCTGGAAAAAGGGCTAAAACGACGCATGCATGGCCTAAAAGACAGGTACGAACTCGTATGCGGGGTACTCACGCACATGAGAAGCGGCGTGTACAAGGCAGTAGACAAGGGCGCGCACACGCGCATTGGCGTAGACGCGCATGGCGCTTGATGGTTTGGCGAAGTGGTGCGCAGGGGGTGGATGTTGGGTGGTTGATGTGCGCGAGGGGTTATTGTGGATGGACGAGCGTGGCCAAGGGACGAATAAGCAAATGGCGCGCATCGGGCCATGATGCGCGCAACGGGGCTACAAGCGATGGCGTGCCTTGGGCGTGGGATGGGGCGTGGGCATGGGCGCACGAGTGCGACGCAGGTGATGTCCTAGACCGCGTAGGTATATGAGTGCTAGGCGACGAGTGCGGGGCGCACGGCGACACGCGCGAGGCACAATGCAAGACCAGGGTAGTAAGCCTAATCCTCGTAGGAATAGGCAAGACGCGAATACTAATCCTCGCAGGAATAGGAAAAGCAGTTGAGTGCCGGAACGTGCGTGGGAGATCGGTGACGGAAGTAATCCTTGGAAGATCAGGAAACGTAACCGGGAGCATATTCCTAGTAGGAATAGGAATAGGGGACATGGGCTCGAAGCACAATCCTACAAGGAATAGGAATGGCGCATGCGGGGCGCGAGACCTTAAGCCTTGAGGCAAGAGGAAATACACGCATGGGCGAAGGCGGTGCAGCCCTAGTCCTCGAGGACTAGGGCGAGGCGTGAGGCGGCGCGTGGGTTTGAGGCGGCTAGGGCAAGAGGCGGCCAACTTGGAGTGGGGAGCAAGCAAGAGGATTGGAGTGCAAGGCAAGGAAGATCAAGACTATTATATAGTATTAGGATTTTATTATCATGTTGCTTTTCATTCTAGAATTAGAAGATCTAATTAGCTTAGGCTTAGATTTATTTTATGCACCTATAAATAGGGGTCTCCCCTCATTGTTTTTGATGTCTTGGATGAGTTGAATAGAAAAGAACGTTTGTTCGAAACCGTGTGTTAGGATTCGTGAGAGTTCGATCATGCAACCGAATTGGTGAGGCTAAGACCCAAGCCAGTTCAACGATTTAGAGAGGCTAAGACCCGATCTATTTCGAGAGTGTAGCGAGGCTAATACCCGAGTGAACTCAAGTATCGTGAGAGAGTTAGGCTAATAACCGAGTCGATCACACCTACGTCGAGAGCATGGCCGTGGCAAAGCCGTGATCAAGACAAGTCGAGGGAACGCAACACCCGATCCGTCATCATTGGTGCTTATATTGAGAGTGATCGATTGGGTGTTCGTGAACTTTTCCTATCCCATTATTTTATTTTTTGTTCGATTTTTTAGAGTCTTTTGTGTTCGAATTTTTTAAATTTTATCCCCTAATTTTCGAAAAATTTCGTGAGTCTTAAAAAATTAAAAAAAAGTGTCATCTAGTCCTTTTGTT